AAAAAAAAAAATTAAAAAGAAATACCGTCTTCTGTTACAACTTGCTTTTCCCCCCAACTAAGGCTAGGTCTTCCCCTGGCAACATCTGCCCCGTCTGCCTGCTCATGGGGTAGTGGCTCCGCTCTCCACCGTGCGCTTCTGCGTCTTCACCTCATCTGTCACTAAGCAGCTTCCTCCCCGTGTAACCCCCACTGCACACTCAATACCACCGTTGGTTACCACCTGTCGTTCTGGCTTCACACGTGCAGGTGTTTCTGTACCTTAAATCCCTCCCCCTGATTTGACGACTCCTCGTGCGTGTGTCATTTCAGTGATAAGCAATGCCAGACCCTCTCCCCAAGGCCGAGCCTCAACGTGGTCACTTTCTGTGAATTCTGTGTTTACGTCCTTCCCTCGTCCGTGTCGAGCTTTGGGGGTTTTGTTGCCGTTTTAATCGACAGCCTCTGTATTTGTTGTCTATTAGACAGTTCTCCTGGTCCACCAATAACTTTTGGTGAGATGCCATTTACTCTCGGCCTCCTACCTTTCTGTTGAGTCTAGTGTCCCTTTTTAAATTTGAGGGCCCTTGGCCGTGGTTTTGATAAGAGGTTCTCACTTGTGTTCTTAAGACCCTTTAAGGATCTTCGAGTACACTTGAGGAACTTCTGTTTATGTGGGTCTAATCTCCCTGTATTTATTCGGTTTGAAATGAAAATGGACAAATTTAAGTAAGTAATTTAATAAAAACAAGTTCATTACATCATGGGATCATTAACTATCCCAAAACAACAACAACAAAAAAAAACCATAAGAGCATTGTTTGACATCTAGCAAACTTGGTTGGTGGCTCAGTTCTTCATCTGCCTCTGCGCTCTTGTACCGTCTTGGTTGAATGAGGGCATGATGATCGCATCCGAGCTCGAGGTGGGGAGGACAGAGGAAAGGCTTGCTAACCCCGGACGAGGTACTGGGGACGTCCCGCCACCCCAAAACGAAAAGGAAACATCAAACGAAAATCTGTCTGTCACTTTGAAGTCAGTTGACCTCCCTTGCTTTTTAAATTAGTCTGTTACTCAACAGTTTGTAGCTTCCTGCATTGATCATTTGAGAAATATTGATAACCATTGAGTTGTGTATTATACACACTAAAAATCTCAGTATCACCAATTTGATCAGAAGCGTCTTAGGTATTGACAAACAAGCTGCAGTCATGACAGGTTATCAAATCCTTGGTGAAAGATCTGCCACAGTTTTTTCTTGGCATGAGTTCCTCCTGGCCAGGAAAGTCAGGAGGGTATACCAGAGCACTTAAACGTGAATGGCAGGCAGGAAATAATTGGGGAGGATCCTTCTTAACTTGTTGAAATCATTTTGTTTAAAGAATGCTTGAGCTAGTGTTGTCTTGGAATTTCTCTACCTTTGACTTCATCAGTGTACTAACTCCTGCTGTTTCAGTTGACAGGGTCAGTTCTGGAAGACACCTGGAAGGAAAAAGGAAAGACCGACATGGAAGAAATGATTCAGAGAATTGAAAATGTGGTTTTAGATGCATATTGCAGCAGGTGGGAGCATAGTGTAAACAGCTGCTTACTCTCAAGTTTAGATCTGTCATAACTTCCTCAGGAGCTCTGGTGGCCGATTGGTAAGGAATCGCACTGCCAACCCAAAGGCTCACAGTTTGAATCCACTAGCTGCTCCTTGGGGTGAAATGGTAGTTATCCTCCTGTGTGATTTGCTGCTTCTGAAAACCTGCCTGAGGGTTAGCCTGGAGTCTCTCCAGACTCCACAGTAACATTTCAGCAGTGGAATTGAAGTCTTAGAGATCTATAGAAATATTTTCTTTCAAGGCTGAATATTTTACCAACGGTTTCCACTTACTGACCATTTCTCTTTAACTCTATTTAGAAATTGAGAAAGTTAATTTTTTGTGATAAAGGGTAGCGTCAGTTCACTAATGCAGACTGGTTCACCAGGTTAAGTATAATAAGGTATAAAATATCTGAAATCTAGCCATCTACTTTAAGCACCATAAGTTGTGTAAAAAAAATTTCAGCTGTATTTTTAAAAGTAAATGTATGGCATTATAGGAAATGCCAGGAAGATCAAAGCATTCACTCTGCATTCCCAATTTAGGAAGTAAAGGTTTAAGACTGCTTGAGGTATTTTAGAGCCTGGCCCAACAGAATTTACGGTGGTCCACTTCAGCTCCTTTTTACCTTCTGTCTGCAGGGATGTGAAACAAATGCTCTTGAAGCTGGTAGAACTCAGGTCGAGTAACTGGGGTCGAGTCCATGTGACTTCCACCTACAGAGAGGCAACGCCTGAAAATGATCCCAATTACTTCATGGTGGGTACACTGTGTTTACATTTGAAGAGACACCACTTACTGCTTTAAGTCAGTTGTGGAAACTGAGATGAGTGACATACAGTTCTGATAATTTAATGTCTGAGTCCTTTTCACCGGTTTATTGACCCAGGGCAGCCGGCAGACCAGGTAAATGTGAGGGGGAAGGACTAGAACCTGTGATGGATGGAGCCAGTGGCCGAGGGAAGTGAGGCTTGGGCTGGAGCGAGCGCAGGGGCGCCAGAGGAAGCTCTGTTCACAGGCTTTGTAGCCCAGGCCCTGCTTCTCAGACCTCTGTGTTTTAATAAAGTGGCATGAAAGTGATTCCCACTTCTGCATCTCCTGACATGTCCAAACCTAAGTCAGCCACAGAGGCATGCTGCTGCCCCTCAGAGCACAGAAACTTCTCAGGAACAAAGAAAGGGGCTAGGAGTCAGCCAGCAGCCTTCAACCGTGAGTGCAGCGGACAGCAGGGTTAAGTCTGCAAGAGCTTGAGATCGTAGAATAGAAATCCTAAAAGCCGTGGGTCCCTCGCCCCACCCACACGTTGGAAAAGCCTGTTAGGAAGTGTCACCCTCTTGGATTATGAGAGGCGCTCAGTTGACCTCAGTCATGCCTGTTAACTAAGGCGTGTTGAGAAAATCGGTTCTGGGAGGATGACGTCTTTCTATCCCTCTGATTCGTCCTAGAATGAACCAACCTTTTTTACATCTGACGGTGTTCCCTTCACGGCAGCTGATCCAGGTATGTGGCCTCACCGTCCTGCCCCTGTCTGTTGGTAACTGAAAACCACAGGTCGTATGGTTCCAGTGCCCACGTGATTCTCAAATGCTTGTGTTCTGCGCGGTCTCCTGCAGGATTTCCCTGTGACCACTTGATTCCAGTGGAACCTCAGCCTCAGTGCGCGCTCACGCTAGCACAGGGGTCTGGGAGAGTACACAGTTACATGCAGGCGTTTCCGTGTGTCTTCTTCTGTTTTGTCTATTATCAGCTCAGCGTTTCGGTGATTAGCATGGAGGAGAAATATGGTTTCACATTCTTGTCTGGTCAGCAACTTTGATTATATGGGTTAATTCTTGTGATCACCAAGAATCCAGCTAATGAATCAAAGCCTGCATCTCTGCACATTTCCCTTTCCAGGAAAGGTCCTTTGTCAGCTCCGCGTTTCAGGGCCTGGGTGGTGGCTGGCTAGCGCTCCATGCGGTTTAGGGCACTCTGTCATATGGAAGCTTTGACTTTTGGGTTTGAGTACTGTCTTTTTTGTTTGGTTGACGATACGCACAGCAGCAAATGATGCCCGTTGAGTTGTTTCTGCATGTACAGTTCAGTGACACTGTTTTCCTTTGAGTTGTGAAACTGTCCTCCCCCACCTTTGCTGAGTTACATTAACACGTTGCCACAAATGATGGCAAATGTGTTTCTAAGCAGGGTGGTCAATTTAAAAAGTGTGCAGGCCTTACTTGTTGCTCTCTGAATTCTTTGAATTGTGTTGTCTGTCTGTTCCTGTTTGTTACTGTTGCTATTAGATGCTGTCAAGGCAAGTACCACTCATAGCAGCAGCCTTACAAACAGCAGCTCTGAGCCCTGTTCTCTCCTGTGTCATCCTCACGGTCTCTGACACTCTTGGGCCCATTGCTGCCGTCAGTCTGGCAGTGCCCCCTGGTTGAGGGTCTTCATCTTCTTCACTGACCCTCCGCTTTTCGAAGCATGGTGTCTGTCCCTCTCCAGTGAACAGACTCTTTTGGCAACATGCGCTGCCTCCACCAAGCACTTTGGATGCATCTTTGTGGTTTTTTTTTTTTTTATTTTAATTGTAATTTTAGAGAAAGTTTACAGAAAAGTTAGATTTTCATTCATACATTGTTGCCCATTTTACCCTCTCTCCCTCCCTTCTCTCTCCCCCAGTTCACAGGTTTTTTTAAAATATCATTCACCGTTGCACAGTTCTCTCCCTCCCCCTCCTGCCTCTGCCCAGTTCTCTTACTCTGGTCTGTTGTCGTGCATACAATGCCTCGTCATATATTCCTTTTATACAGTTCTTTCCTTCATTTTTTGCAATGCAGTGTTCATTACCTGTTCACTCTCATTACCTTATTTGCTTCCTGACCCCCTGTGTCAGATCCATGTTGTAACAGTGGTGCTACGTGATATTTGTTCTTTTGTGACGGAGTTATTTCACTCAGCATAATGGCCTCCTGGGTCACACCATGTTTTATGATTCCGTGTTGCATACTACTGCTACATTGTATGAATAGATACCTAGATTTTTCTATCCATTCATTTGTTGATGGGCACCTGGGTTGCTTCCATCCTTTTGCTGTTGTGATGAATGCAGCAGTAAACATGGATATGCATGTATCTGTTTGGGTGGCAATTCTGGTTTCTTTAGGGTATATTCCCATTAGTGGAATTGCTGGGTCAAATGGTATTTCTGTTTCCATCTTTTTGAGAAAGAACCAAACCACCTTCGATGGTGGTTGCACCATTTTACTTTCCCACCAGCAGTGAATAAGGGTTCCAATCTCTCTACAACCTCATCAGCATTTGTTTGTTTGCTGCTCTGCTGAACTTTGCTATTGGGGTGAGATGATATCTCATAATTGTTTTGATTTGCATCTCTCTGATAGCTAGGGATTTTGAACATTGCTTCATGTGTTTGTTTGCTGTCTTTGGTGAAGTGTCTATGCCCATTTTGCTATTGGGTTGTTTACCTTTTTCTTGTTGACGTGCTGGAGTATTCTATAAATTTTAGATGTGAGTCCCAAATCCGATATGTCATTACCAAATATTTCTTTTTCCTGTCTGTGGCTTTCCTGTTTACCCTGTTGGGGAAGTTTTTTGATGTGCTTAGGAAATTAATTCTTAACGGGTCTCACTCATTTATCCTATTCTTTCCTGGCTGTAGATTTTTCATTATGCTTAGAAGACTGTTCATACTGTGAATTAGGGCTTCTAGAGTTCTTCTAAGCTTTTCTTTCATGAAGTTTATATTATAGTCTTTGGTTTTACTCCTAGGTCCTTGATCAACCTTGTGCTGGTTTTTGTACATGGTGCAAGATGTGGGTCTTTCTTGAGTTTTCTACAGATGGTTTTCCAATTTTGACAACACCGTTTCAAGCTGTTGCTTCCCCACTTAACGGATTTCATAATTCTTGTCAAAAATCAGTTGAGTGTAGATAGATGAGCTGATTTCTGGATTCTCAGTTCTGTTCCATTGATCATGTATCTGTCCCTATACCAACACCGTGCTGTCTTGACAACCATGGCTGTGGAGTGATTTGACATCAGGGAATGTGATATCTCCTATTACTTTTCTCTTTTTCAGGAGTGCTTTATTTATTCGGAGTCTCTTCTATAAAATTGGAATTTCAAATAAATTGGAAATTTTTGTCTTCATCTTGTCTAAAACACTTCTGTTTGTTCTTTTGGCATCCTTATTCACTTGGTGAACAGAAATACCTGCAGTGTTTGAAATCAGACAGCTACTAGTACTAAAAAGAAAAAAATAAAACATTTTTAGGATGATATGAAAAAAGTACTTGAGTTTCGGCTCGGAGGAGGCCTTGGTGCAACTTTCTTCGGTCGTCCCGCATCCGGGTTCATCTGACACCAGCTGCCTCCGCCATGCCGCCCAAGTTCGACCCCAATGAGATTAAAGTCGTGTGCCTGAGGTGTACCGGTGGGGAAGTTGGTGCCACTTCCGCTCTGGTCCCCAAGATCGGCCCCCTGGGTTTGTCTCCAAAAAAGGTTGGTGATGACATTGCCAAGGCCACCGGTGACTGGAAGGGACTAAGGATTACAGTGAAACTGACCATTCAGAACAGACAGGCCCAGATTGAAGTGGTGCCTTCTGCCTCTGCCTCTGCCCTGATCATCAAAGCCCTAAAGGAACCACCCAGAGACCGAAAGAAGCAGAAAAATATTAAGCACAGTGGAAATATCACTTTTGATGAGATTGTTGGCATTGCCCAGCAGATGCGGCACCGTTCTTTAGCCAGAGAACTCTCTGGAACTATTAAAGAGATCCTGGGAACTGCCCAATCTGTGGGCTGCAATGTTGATGGCCGTCACCCTCATGACATCATAGAAGACATCAGCAGTGGTGCTGTGGAATGCCCAGCTAGCTAAGGAACTACAGATGAAAATATTTCAATAAAGGATTATTTGTTAAAAAAAAAGTACTTGAAAGTCTAAAAACAAGATGCTTAGCAAAAAAGTGCAGCTTTGAAGACAGAATTTCATTTCTACAAAGAAAACAGCTAATAGCTGTGTAAACAAGATCAGCATCGGCTTAGACATGGAGAAAACAGAACCAGCCCGAGTCCGGGAGGGGGGAAGAGAGGAGGTCTGATGTATGAGGCAGAGCGAAAGGCACAGTGTGCTGACGACACTACAAGGCGGGATGACTGGCGTTCAGACAGCAGGAGGAAGAGCTGCGTGGGTCAGTACAGCAGCGGGACACAGATTCCTTCTGGGCTCACCAACACTCATTCTTCGTAACAGTTAAGCAAGCCTGGCGACGAGGGGCTGCCGCTGAGACAGCTCTTCAGTTCCTGCTGTATTCCACCGCAAAAGCAGTCAGAGGAATTGAAGCTCTGCGTATGAAAAGCACAGAAGCTCACGTTTCTACAAGCAGCATCTTGATGTGTTAAGAAAGACTTCTTGAACAGATCGTGAATGAAACGGCCACACCTTTGAAGCCTGTATATTGTGATTTGAGTATAGAATATAGAGAGTTGTGTTTGCTGAGCCACCGCCGTGACCCTTGTTTGACACTGGCTCCAGTCCCAACACCCCCTCCTCTCTATGGCTCTCATTTCCGTTCTCCCTCTGCCCCCCCACCCTCCTGAGTTGTCCTGCTCGGCCGACGCCGTCCTGGATCTGCTGAGGACAAGGTGGCCCAGTGGTGTGACTGTTCCCTCCCAGGCCTGTCTGCTGCTTGGCAGAAAGTGGTGAGTCCAGTTCTGGATCCCAGGGAGGCTGACAGCCGTGTCTCAGCAGCCCAGCACTGTCCCTCAGACCAGTGAGCTCGCCATCTAGATGATGATTCATTCTGGTCTACTTTTGTCCCCTGGCCAGGACCCTCGACTGTGTTGCTTTTCAGAGAGGTCGCCCGTGGTAGCATGTGTCATCTGGCTGTCCCGGCCTTGGGATTTGGAGGCTACTGTAGGTTACTGGTCATTAGGCTGTGCAGTAGCAGGTCTCCTCACTTGTCTCCACCCACGCTGCCCTTAGGAACGTCTTGTTATCTGTCACGTCCCATCTGACTGTACAGTAACATAAGTCCCGCTGTGACGGACACCCGGGTGCTGGCTCAGCGGGGTGCTGGCTCAGCGGGGTGCTGGCTGTGATGCCTGAGGTTCCCAGTCAGTTTGGCTGGGCCTCACTGCCTTTCACAGTGGTTGCACCATTTTACACTCCCGCCAACAGTGCATAAGGGCTCCAGTTTCTCCACCACCTAACCAGCATTTGATGTTTGCTGTTCTGTCAAACTGTGCTAATCCTACTGGGGTGAGATGATATCTCATCGTTATTTTGAGTGAAGCTAGTTTTAAGGTAACTAGCTTTAATGTTCAGTGTCGGGGTTACATCCTTTGACTCTACCTACTCAGTCTACAGACTGAAGATTTGAAGAAGCTGGACTGTGTGAATGTGGAGTTGGAATTGGAGGAGGACTCGTCCACAGCCTGCGATAGGCCAGTGGCCTCTTCTTGCTTGTGTGAAGTGAAAAGGACCTTAAGCTCTCCCTCTTGAAATGCACTGTGGACAGTACCTCAAGGAGAAGAAAACATCTTCACCGGAGAACCAGCGAACATCATGAATGAAGAGAAGATTGCAGTTGTCAGTATTTCATTTTCCTTTGATTCTTAATCAAAACCCTTGGGAACAGGGTTTCCAGGTATCGAAAGTACCGTACTAGCAAATCTGCTGCCGAGGACCTTTTCAGATGCTGCAGAGCAAGGATGGCAGTTGAAAGAAAGACTGAGTTGCACCGGACTCAAGTTGGGGCATTTTCATTTGCCTCATATACATGTGAAAGTTGGACGATGAATAAAGACATCTTAAGAATTGGTGCCTTTGAATTTTGGTGTTGGTGAAGATTATTGACTGTGAAAGAATAAGTGTGTCTTGAAAGAAGTGTGACCAGAACGTTCCTAAGCCGTGTGAGTGATGAGAGGTCGACCATTGTGTATACGTGGGTGTGGTGTCCGGAGAGTAGTCTCAGGAGAGAGGGATATCGTCCTTGGAAGGGGAAAGCCCTCTACACTGCCAGAGTGGTGGTGACAATGGGGTTTAATGTGGCAGAGATTGTGAAGTGGTGAGGAATTGGGCAGAGTTCCTTCTCTCGTTAGAGGGTCCCTGAGTGCTGACCAGAGACTGCTAATACCAGCAGCTTTGCTCGAAGCAGCCATCTGATCACCTCGCAGGAAGAGTTCTCCGAGACGTGCTCATCTTGGAGTCTTCTGCTGAGACAGAGGGCAGGTGGACATAGATGTGCTCTGTGCCTTGTTTCTGGAAGGACAGCAGGCAGATGGAAGGCCATGTTCTTCCCAGGGCGCCATAGAGCCAGTGGTCCATGTGATAGGAAGAACTAGGAGGCAGGTAAACCACGTTCACGGCAGCTGTGAAGCGTATTCGTGGTGTTTGGCCTCTACGGGCACTGACAGGAGTATCATGTGCAATAATTCAAGATTCATGAGTACACAGCAGGGGTCACAGCAAGCCAGTTCGAACTCACATCTTTTAAAAAGCCACTGTTAAGTATATAACTGATAATTTATTACCATTTAGACATTTAACCCACTTAAAATTACAGGAAATGAGGACTTGGGGGCTTACTGGCCATTTCCTGTCATTTTCTTTATTATCTTGTAGATTACCAAGAGAAATATCAAGAATTACTTGAAAGAGAAGACTTTTTTCCCGATTATGAAGAAAATGGTACCTATTTATCAGGCACTGGTGATTCGTAAGTTATCCGTAACTTCTACCTTTTCTTGTGAAATCCTCTGTCTACAGTTACAGGTGGAATTTAGATGAGGAAGAAAGTGGGTCCTGAGAGTGTGTTTTCATTTCATAGTTGTTGGGCACTGCTGAGTTGGAACTGACTCATTACCGGGTGAGTTTTCAGAGGCAGTAAATCACACGCGAGGTGACCGCACAGCAGCTAGGAGATTTGAACCGTGTGCCTTTGGGTTGGCAGCACAGCTACTTAGCACTAGGACACCAGAGCTCCCTGATTTCGTAGTTGTATACATAAAAAAATAGAAGAAAATTCTATTTAAAAATTTAAACAGAAACTAAAACTCTAAAACGTTATACCTCGTTTGGAGGACCGTTATAAAATTGTGAATTTAAGTACAATTTTTTAAAACGCCCCCAATCTAACGATGAACTAGCTCTCAGATTCCAGTAAGATTGTGGGCAAGTCCTGTTCAAGTTTCTCTGTCTGTAAACTGAGAATAGTTTGATATTAGCAACTTGGAATTAAAAGAGGAAACATGCGGCATCGTGTCCAAGAACTTCTGATGGCGAGGCCTGGGGGTGGTGTTTGTCATAAATAAAATGTAAAGAGCCAAAAAAAAAAAGAGGAAACATGAAAGATGCTGGGAGCAGCCTTCCCACCCATGATGAAATATTCATGTTGTAACTGTTAATGATAAATAAGATTGAAGAAAGCAGACTACCTAACTGAGTAGAAATGTTTGGGGGGGATAGGAAGATGTGGATTATAGTCCTCTTATATATATTGACTTGCTAGTAAATAAATAAAAACCACTTAACCCTCGCCAGCTGTGCCAAGCTGGAGGCTGACCCTCAGGCAGGACCCAACCAAGTTTTAAATACAAAAGCCCGCCCACCAGATCCTGAAGATCCCCCAGAAGATGGAGGGAATACACACAAACACTGTACCAGAAAGAACTGAGTGACACTGAAAAATTCCAGGACGTGCCATAGGAACAGGAGCCAATGGTAATGGAGGAGGAAATGGAGGCTGCATTGAAGGCAAAAAATAAGGAATCGATGGGATGCCAATTGACTTATTAACGGATGCAGCCTTGTATGAACTCAACAGTCTAGACCAGGAAATTCGGAGAACGGCTATCTGGCCAGCTGATGAGAAGAGGTCTATATTAGGGAGCTCTGGTGGCCTAGTGGCAAGAAGCAATTCCAGAGGTATGTGGTTCGAATCCACCAGATGCTCTGCTGGAGAATGAGGGGCAGTCTCCTGCTGTATGAGTCAGATCAGATTTGACGGTACATACACACAGAATAATAATAATAACATACACACACACACACACACATATATATATTGTTGTTGTTGTTATGTGCCGTCGAGTCCCTTGCGACTCATAGCGACCCTATGTACAACAGCCCTAAACCATGCTCTGTCCTGTGCCAGTCGCACTGCCTCTGACACACCCATCCCGATTACCCCAGTCACTGAATCAATCCATCTCATAGAGGGCCTTCCCCTCCTGCGCTGTCCCTCCACCCTACCAAGCATGATGTCCTTCTCCAAGGACCTGTCCCATTCCCAAAAAGGAAGATCCAACTAATTGTGGAAAGAATCAAAACAAAATCATTGATAATCACATGCAAGCAAAATAAAACCGAAGATCATTCAAAAACAGCTGGAATAGTACATAGATAGGGAATTGCCAGAAGTTCAGTCAGGATTTAGAAAAGGCCATGATACCAGGGATCTCACTGCTGATGTCAGATGGATCCTGGCTGAAAGTAAGGAACACCAGAAGAACGTCTGTCTGTGCTTTCTTGACTACACAAAGGTATTTGTGTGGCTCATGACAAGTTGTGGCTGACATTGAGAAGAATGGGAATCCCAGGGCACTTAAATTGTGTTCATGAGGAACCTATAACTGAAGCAAGAGGCTTTTGTGAGAACAGCGCAGGGGAGCACTTCATGGTTTGGAATTGGGAATGGAGCACATCAGGCATGTATTCTATCTCCATACCTGTTCAGTCTATATGCTGATCAAATTATCCAAGAAGCTGGACTCTATGTATGAGGAGTGTGGAATCAGGATTGGAGGGAGACTCATCAATAACCTCCATTATGAAGATGACAAAATCTTGCTTGCTGAAATTGAGGAGGAGTTGAAGTACTTGTTGCAAAAGATCAAGAATGCAGCCTTCAGTATGATTGCGTCTCACTGTCAAGAAGACAAATATTCTTGGGAGCTCTGGTGGCCTGGTGGCAAGAAGGTGCACTGCAATCTATGAAGGCAAAGATTCTTACCACTGGACCAACAGGCATTGTCATGATGGAGAGGAGATTGAAACGGCCAACAGCTTCATCTTGCTTGAATCCACAATTAACGCCCTTGGGACAAGCAGTCAGCAAATAAAGAGACACATTGCACTAGGAAAATCTGCAGTTAGGAATCTTTCCAAATTATTGAGGAGGAGTGATGTCAGTTTGAATACTAAGGTGTGTCTGATACAGGCCATAGTCTTTCCATTTACAAGCTTTACCACTGAGAACTGGATAGTGAATAAGGATGACAGAAAAAGAATTGATGCCTTTGAGCTCTGGTGTTGGAGAAGAGCACGAACATCCCATGATGGCAAAGGGAACAAAATAGATACATCTTTGAGAGGGTGCAGCCAGAGTGCCCTTTGGAGACAAGAATGAAGAGGCTTTACCTCACTTACTTTGGGCATGTTGCTAGAAGGTGCTATTCTTTGGAGGAGGGACATGATGTTGGGAAGGGTAGAGGGTCGATCAAGGAGAGGCAGACCCTCAACCAGGTGGATTGACAAGGTGACTGCTGCAATGGGCTCTTGTGTGTCAGGAAGTATGAGGATTGCGCAGGCTAGAACAGGGTTCAGATCATTTGTTCATAGGGTCTCTATGAATTGTGCTCAACTCAGCGGCACCTAAACAACAACAATAGCATGTATTGACTACCTACCATTCTTTATTGTAAACTTTTAATACATTCTTATTTACCATCATATTGCACTATATTTTGCTGTAGAATGACCAGTCCTTTTGAGGTTTTTATTGCAACTTTGTTAACAGAAGCATGTATTTGGGCAAGATACTTATGTTCTCTTTGTAAAAATGTTTTTTATATTCATTTCTCAGTTGTGTTGGGAGTTTGTTTTTAAACTGAGCTGCTTTTATTCTTAGTTTTTTTTTTCTTGGTGATTTTATTCTCTTTGAGATTTAATTACTGATCAGTTTGGGATTTAGTTATGTTACTGCACTTTAACATTTTATAGTAAAGATTTTAGAGAAATTTAATATTTTGGAAAAAGGAAAAATAAAGAGCGATCTCTTAAGAGGAAGGTTTAGCCCTGCTGAGTTTAAAATACATCTCACGCTCCCACCTACCCTCAGCCTCACTCTAAACCCTGGAGAACCTTGGAGGGAATCTGAGCGAGATAAGTCAAAATCAGGTTCCTGTTGGGAAGCTCTAACCCAGTTAGTGGTGAGGTGACTGAGTTGTCATTGCAGGAATAACCTAGTTTGAATTCTCATTTTTAAGACTAATTAAAGGATGCTTCATTGTAAGTAAATGGCACCTCTGAAATATGTGTTATTTTATGTATATTTATTGGCAATATAAGTTTCTGAAATATCTTCACCTTTGATTTAACTTGCAGATTCTGTTACAAAATTTATTATGGATGTCTGACCCTGTAATAAGATTTGGGCTTCAGATGCCAGGTCCTACCATCCCTTGTAAAATTATCCTATGAAATAAAGTATTTTATTGTCTAAGGATTGACACATGGTTATGTCTTGACAGCTAGTTAGTTCTTCTAATCTGTCCAACCTTAAATTAGGGAAGTATGTCACGTACAGCCAGCTTTTCATGGCCTAGCATCTTAGACCCTTTGTAAACTGAGCAACTTTAAACTTACAACTTACCTTTGTGTCTTTCACAGATACTTGGATGATATTGATGATGAAATGGACCCAGAAATCGAGGAAGCTTATGAAAAGTTTTGTTTAGAATCAGAGCGTAAGCGAAAACAATAAAGTTCACTTTGGGTGTAGGAGTTTGAAGCAGTTTAGGATCGGTGGTCTGGCAGAACACAGGAAGCGAGAGAATGCGTCACGCGTAGACCAAATTAGGGATATTGGGTTATGTTACTAATGTATGCAACTTTAATTCTGTTTTAACACTATCTGCCAAAATAAACTTTCTTCCCATAACTTAAAATGTGTATATATATATAAAATAGTTTATTATGTACAGTTAATTCCACTGTTTTGGCTGCAATAAAATCAATTTTGAAATAATGAAATGTCGAAAGTAAATTTTGCTAGACAGAAGCTTATTCTTTAAGTTCTCCTTTTCTTGGGGAATAAGTTGTCTCAGCCTGGGAATGGGTATGACTGTGAAAATGTGGCATCCTTTTTTAGATTAAGGGTTTAGATTCTAGCTTTCATTTTGGCTTGACATTTAGTATCTCCGTGAGATTTCCAGTGTGAATCACAGTCAAGAAAATCTTTAGCCCTGCAGTCTTGGATGATGACATTGACAACTACTATTACATATGCAGATACTGTTGATACCAAGGGCTGTTCTAACGTCATTAAAAGAATGACCGACTTTAGAGAACTTCCAGCAGAGCCACCAGGACCCTTCACTGAGGATTTGTCCCGGCTCCAGAATGTCCTTTTATTTATGTGTACGCCTTTTGAATATTTTTTTTTCTACCCTAACTTTATTACCCTCAGGCCTAAAACACAGCTCTGCTTTATTTATAAGGCTTTCTCATTTTTCTTTTACAGCATGTGTTGCATTGACTTTTTTACTAGAGACTTTTACTAGATCTTTGTCACTCAGATTTTCATCTGCTTTATAATGGATACACACCTCAAGGATCACTTTTCTAATACTTGTACTATACTGTAGCACCACCCTGGCCCTGATTAAGTCATATTTTTACCTAATGTCAAAAAGCTTTTCCCAACTAACTCAAACCTTTAAAAAGAACAGCTTGTAAATATGCATGTAAATAGTTGTGTTAATAAGCCACTGTTTGACATTTGGTACCTCTGTGTCTGCTAATACAGTTAGCTTTCTTACACTTCTGTCAGTCTGAATTAAAATTAGACTTTGAAAATAAAATTTAAATTGTTTTGTTTTCTCGTAATTTTTTGGAATATAATGTAATATTTTAAAAATGTTTGCTGTTGAACTTTCTTACATGATGCAATAAAAATACATGGAGATCTGAAGTCAGAGGAACCATACCAGCATACCAATTGTTTGTTACATAAGAGTTCAGTTCAGCGATTGAGTCTATATGGAAAAAAATAGTGAGCTTGAAACATTAAAGTACCTAGATTCCCTACTGTAACAGGGAGGTGTGTGTGACTGGAGTTGGAGGCAATGGCTCTATTGAGAATTTTTTTCCTAGTGGCTTTTGTGACGTGGTGGCCACCACTCTAAAGTGTGGTTCTTTCAAGAGGATGGCTGTAAAGCTTGGGCAGGGAGTTCAAGGGCAGAAGCAGCGTAGTAGATGGAGTACCAGGGCAGGCGGCTTTGGCTCGTTTATTGCTGCTGACCCTGTTTTGTACGCTAGTTCATTGTCTTCAACCAATTCCATAGTCACAGTGGCCACTAACATTGATAACATTTTCTAGGCTCTCGAGGCTGCCCCTCCAGGCTGTACACGTGAGAGTGGACTGCTCTTCCTTGTTCACCCCTGCTGCTGGTGGATTCAGATCTCAGGAGAGGCGTGGCTTTGGGGAAGTCCTGTAGCTCGCTTCAGGAGGCCACCTCTTCTAGTCACAGTCTCATTGCCCAAGCAGGAGCTTAAGAGTAACCCCCAGTGATGACACTCGGAGCTGCAGCTCAGATTTTCGGATGGGCTGTGCCGTGGAAAGGCTGAAGCTGGAATGAGCACCCAGGCTGAGGCAGCAAAACCAGGATAGAACGATGGAGAGAGAGAGAGTGGCTCATGGCTACTCCCATGGGCTGCCCAGCGGAAAGGCTGAAGCTGGAATGAACCCCTGGGCTGAGGAGGCGAAACCAGGACGGAGAGAGAGAGCGACTCATGGCTACTCCCATGGGCTGCCCAGTGCAAAGGCTGAAGCTGGAATGAACCCCTGGGCTGAGGAGGCGAAACCAGGACGGAGAGAGAGAGCGGCTCCGGCTGCTCCCACAGGGTGCATGGTGGCTAGATGCTGACAGGGAGTGTCCCAGAAGAACCAAGACGCCTCCTTCATAAGTCCCAAGCCTTGCATCCAGTGTCTCAGTTCTACGGGTGTCACCTTAACCACATGACATTCAAGAGAAAGGGGCATAGACCCCACCCACCTCAGTGGGAGGCCATCAACTATGTCTCAGGGTGCGAGGATATGTCATTGAGGAAAAGCCGGATAAGGAATAAGGATAGCTGAAATTGATGCCTTTGAGTTGTATTGGCAAAAAATATTGGATATCCTGTGGGCTGCTCAGCACATCTACCCTAGAAGCGCAGAGGCTTCCTGGAAGCAAGGCGAGCAAACCATGTGCTTGACAGAGTAGAAGATGAGGGGGAAAGACCACGCTGGAGAAGAGTAACTGGCTGCACCAGTGGGTTCAAGCGCAGAAGTGGTGGTGAGGAAGTGTCCTGGGATTCCCATTCTTCTCAGAGTCGGCCGCGGTGTGTTCTCTGCACTGCATGGTTTAAAATGAAGAACAACGTGCATTATGCTTGTATCCTTTCTCCGTGCCTGTTGAATCTGTAATCTGAACAAATCATTCGTGAAGCTAGACTTGGTGAAGAAGAAGGTGGCATCAGGATTGGAGTGGCTGCTTTTAAAACAGCTGAATTACCTCCCTGTCCTTGTGCATCTATCCCGTTGTTGGTTGGTGTCAGTCAACTAGGGCATGGAGTGATCATATGAGCAAGATCTGAACCTTGCCTTCCCTGCACCGTCCTCATCCTCTAATATGTTGAGCTCATTGTTAAACTCTGTCCTTGAGCTCCTTGTTAAACCTCTCTCGTTCTTGGTCTTCCTCTCTATGACCCTCCACCTTTCCCAGCAGGATGGTTTTTTCAAGGACTAACAGTGTGCCCAAGGTAGGTGAGAAGGAAGTATGATCCCTGCCTCTAAGGACGACTGAGTACACCTTCCCCAATACCTCTCTCTGTTCTTTTGCCAGTCCATGGGATAACTCGGCATACTTCGCCAACACCGCAACTCAAAGGTGTTGTGCCCATGAAATGCCCCTCAAAGAAATCCAAAAACACATCTGAAATTTCAAGAGCGTTTATTATATATTTTCCACGCATGGAGACTTTTCTCCTTCCTCCGGGAGGTGGTGAAGGAAAAAAGCCTCTAGCTTCCCCTCCCACTTGCTTTTATAGCTTTTTTGAGTGCCCCTGTTAGGGCAAGGGGATTGCGATTTTGGTTGGTGGGTTGACTTTTGATGGACTGGCTTCTTTGCCCGCCTTTACTTCTTTTGTGTCATGTAGACACTAGTTAATTCCTTACTTTTTTTTTTCCTTTTTTTTTTTAATTCCTTACTTTTCAAGGACAGACCAGGCTTTACCCAGGACACTTGTGTTTGCCTTAAGCCAAGAATTTTTATGGCCCGCTTCTGCCTCTGGTGTTATGGGGGTTTATAAAAAATGGGGTTTCTGCTGTCCCTTCAGTAGGCACCAATTCTTCACAACTCAAAGGCTTCAGTTCTTTTGTTACCCTTAGTCATTTCTCAGCTTTTCAGTTAAGTAGAAAGTAATTGAAACTATCATGACCTGAACCATGGCAGCCATTGGCCAACAAAAGCTTTAGACTGACTCTAGTGAGCCAGGGACAAGGTATTGGGTGCTATCTGGTCACTTCTGTTTACTCACCTCTGTGCCCTTCAAATCCACTGTCACTTCTGGCCATTTCTCTATCCAGTGACCCTCTTGAGTCACCCCAAGTCTCCGTGTCACTAATTGTAGTGGTTACTTGGTGTTCTTTAGCTTGTCCCTTGGGCAGTATCACAAATTTCTGATAACAGTAGTTAAGGCACTTGGCTGCCAGCGAAAGCTTCCAGTGGCTCCACGTTCATAGGGTTTTTAGGAGTTAGTGACTTTCCAGATGATGGAGGAGCAATGATGTCAGTTTGAGGACTAAGGCGCATCTGATTCAGGCCATGGTCTTGTCACTTGCTGTGCATCTGAGAGCTGGACAATGCATAAGGATGACAGAAGAATTGATGCCTTTGAGCTGTAGTGTTGAAGAGCACTGAACATCCCATGGACAGTCAACAGACAATATGTCTTGGCGAGGATGTGACCAGAGTGCTCTTTGGAGACAAAGATGATGAGGCTTCACCTCGTACTTTGGCCGTGTTACTAGGAGGGACTGTTCCTTGGAGAAGGACATGGTTCTGGGAAGTGTGGAGGGCCAGAGAGGAAGGAGAAGTTGACCCTCGACCAGGTGCATTGACAAGGCGACTGCTGCAGTGGGCTCTAATGTGTCAAAGTGTGAGGATGGCATAGGGTAGGACAGGGTTCAGATCTTTTGTTCACAGAGCAGCTATGAGTCATACTCAGTGGCACAATAGTGACTTCACGGGAGAAACACGGGGCCGTCTACTTGAGAGTGGAGTCCTGGGATTGAAGCAGCTCCGAGAATGTTTGAACCCCTAGGAAAGGAGAAGATCCCCAGGTGCTGCCTTATCTGAAAAGCCAGGAGGGCTGTCTATCTGTGAAAATGTTTCTGCTGGGCTGGAGAAGCTGTGACCTTGTAAGAGTATTCCCTTATCTGAAAAGCCAAGACGTGTGCAGACTCACAGACCCCTCCTCTGCTGGTATTGTGATGCTGATGCTTTAGAACCAATGAGAGAAGAGCAGGACAGTGTGTCTGGATCCTGTAAAAAGCCCCTCGTGAAGCCGTCGGGAACCCAGACATCTTGGAATTGTATCTTCCTGGAGCTCCCACTAGTGTAATAAGCTTCCTTTTACTAAGGAAGGGTTCATGGGGTTTACTCCTGAGGTGTCTCCCTGGCAGACAGTTCTACCCTTTCCTACATGTGCTCTAAGCCA